CCCCCATGAAAGTGTATTGAGTTTGGTAAAAAAACAAAAACAAAACAAGAAAAAAATCCGACATCTGAATTCGTCAGTGTGACATTTCCTATTTTTCATGCGAGTCCTATGTACATTCTGCTAAAAGTTTGTCTGTTGCTGGAGATGTTCATCTAAGAGGCTCTCGACCAATATCATCAGCAAGCTTCATGCAAAGAGAGGATTCTGCCTGTATTCCAAGAACACTATGAAAGGGCCTGACAAAGTGACAGATACTGCTTCTCCCTTGCTATTACAGATAACATGTTGAAATTGTCAATAAGGGAAGCAAATTTTGCTTCTAGATTAAGGTCCTAGCATAGGCAAGGAGCACAGCAGAAAGTCAACACCTTAGTTAGGATGTTCAGAATTTGAGATCATATAATTCATTTGGAAGCTGTTTAAAAACTAACATAGTTTAACAGAACACACACACAATATGAGACACTGCAACCTTTAGGGGAAAAAAGGAGCAGTATTTAAACCAACAGGATTTCAACTTGGTTATTTACAAACTTTACCTGAGGTGCAAGGATTATATATTTTTCAAAAGAGAATCTCTCTTTCAGCAGCTCAAGTATGTAAAAATATAAATTCCTACCTAATATTTGGTCAATTAATTCTAAAGAAAAATATTACTCAAGGTTAACATTGAAATATACATTCTCCACACTTCATAATCCAATTGTTCAGACTACAATTTTTATGGCTATTTGGTACAAATGTTAACAGAACCAATATTATAAAACTGTAGTGTTTTTATATACAGTACAATCACAGCTTAGTTCAGTAGCTTTCACCATTCATTTTTCTCAAGGGATGAACTGCAAATTATAACTCCACAGAATATGTATTTGAGTCCTCAGACCTAGAACAAACCAAAAATAGTTGTGGCATAAACTGTAATACAATTAAAATAAAGCAGCTGAGGAAAAGTGTTAAATATATGTAAATGTGTATATACAATAGCTTATATTTTACAAATTAATGTGACAACACACTAAGTACATGTTATTTATTTGGTCATTTAATTATGACTGGCTATTTAAGTCAGCTTTTGAAAACAGCCAAGCTACCAATAGGAAACAGCTAGACAACCTGAAAAGTACTAAAATGAGGCAAAATGCTCAGACAAGAAATAGAAGTTAAGTATAAATAATTTTATACACTGTTCATAAAGACCAGTGATTTTTTATGAGTGGGATTTCAGCGTGCTCTCTCTTCTGTAAAACTGAATGTAAAATACTGTGCACAGAATCAGATTTTGCAACATTTAAATAAGAATTTACTTCAAATTAGAGAGAATTCCTGAAAGGAACAAAAAGCATTAGAAACTAGAGGAAAATGGAGTTTTAATCAGGATTTTAAACAATCACATTTGAAGTTTAGAGAGTTTATTCCCACATCTCCATGTGAGAGAAAAATAATATACTAAATCAGCCCTATACCGCAGATTGAACATTGAAGTAAAGTAAACTATGGAAACTGACTGAGGCTACATGAGAACCTCAAAATTCAGAGTTGCAGCTTACTGACCTGACTAACCCTTGGCCTGGCTTGTTACAGACGCAAATAATAAATGTGGTTAACCAAGCACATATGGTACATGAAGGGTAAATGTCAAGAAGTTGACTATCAAGGAGTGTTTCCTGAAAAGTGATATACATTTTGCTGTGCAATGGTCTTGCCAGAAAAATAAAGTTCCATTGCTTGAGAATTTCCAAGTCACCTAGTATTAAAAAAAAGACAGTCCACTGAATAATCCTGTGTCCAGAGAGGACTCACTGACACAATTCCTTAAAGATTAAGACCAGTAAGTAAATCCTAGAACATCTCTTCTTTATAACTGTCATTCCTTTTTTTTTTTTTTTTTTTAAACTTGTGCTCAAGTGAAAGATTTCTTTTTGAGACCAAACCATCTTAAGAGTGTAACCTTTTCTTCTAACTAGAAAATATATAAGCAGCTAGCACTTCCATCTACACAAGGTCCTCCATGTTTGCTACCAGTTACATAGCATACAAGCCACTTGTGCTTTTCAGAATAATTCTAATGCTCAAAAGAAAGCTAGATCGTCTCAACTTCTCTTTGATGCAATTCAAACACTTGCATAACCTCATTGTTGCATGTACCAACATATTTGATGCTAGATTTGAAAAGCAGCAACAGCTAAAGTAAAATCTAGTTACTCAAGAGGATTTCTTACCTTCTCACAAAGTAAACAATCAAGTTTTCTTGTCATTTGGTCGGAAGTGTGCATTGCCAATAAGACTCTCATAATTTCGTTTCTGTAGCATGCTGTTTGACAGGTGCTGGTACGCTACTGGCCTCCTTCCTGAAAAAATAAAAGTTACGAAACATTAACAAGGTTCACTGGAAATAAAACTAATCATATATTTGATTCCAGGCTCTTTACTTGTCCAATGATCCCAAAGTGTTCCACATAAACCACCTACGCTGCTTATTCACCGCTGCCGAAACTCATGCAGTTGACACAGCAATCCACCCCTGTACAGGACAACAGGGCTTTAGACACTAAAGAATAAGCCTGAACTTAAAGTAAGTGGCATCACACTTTTCATATTCATGGTGAAAACAAGTAGAATAAATGCTCTACTAGCCTTTTGTTTTCCTCAAACAGACCCAGAGGTTTTTTTGGCACAAGATACTCGCATCAGCTAAAAAAAAACCCCAAAACCCAAAATAAACCTGTAAGGAAACAGCTGCTATTCGTGCTGCCATAAGCACAGCACTCTTTTACTGGGCCTACACAGAATTTTTGACCTCAAAACATCAAAGGCAATCCTTCCATTTGCAATACTATTTGAGCAACAGCATGCATAGCCTTCCAACACTTCTGCATGCTTATACACAATCATCAAACAAAAACGTGATAATATAGCAAAGTTAAAGGTGGTTTGTCAAATCAGGGTTCCGTATGCTTACAGTAGTAAATAACGGGATACTTTCTGCTATTTATCTAACAAGCCTTAACTTCTATTGTTGATGGACAATTTTTGTTTGGCAATTTCCAAGGCAGCAAGCAAAGCAGTATTGTGTATGTTTAGTTATAAGAAAGGAGTCACTAAGACAAGGACAATCGGAAAAGACTAGGAAGGAGATCAAGAAACACTACTACAGGAATGGAAAGCTCAACTGCCATCTCACAGAAATCTTAGAAGGGGATGTGTGGAGACAGGGGGTGGAAGAGGGAAATGGAGAGGGGGAAGTAAGGTTTAATTAACTTATAATGGCAAAATTAAATTAATACTTCAACAGAATCTACAAGATCACCGGAGCGTGTCATGAGCAATTGTCTTTAATTTGTAGCCTCTGCCAGATCAATCAGTCAACAGGTTATCCTTGATAATGCTGCTACTGCAAAAAGGATAACTAATTTGAAAATAACACAAACTGAGTGGTTTCAGAATATTTCTGTCTCTTCAGGGCAACACAAACTGGCACAGTTTATGAGCAATAATGGACAGCATCAGGGTTTAATCAAGTTTGCCAAGTGGAACATATTCTCATGACAACTCGATCCAGCATTTAACATGCAACATAACATGTTCATAAGACCTAAATAATGTTGCCACAAGGCAACACAGGCCATAAAAGGAATTTTAACATCATGTTTTAAAGTATACCAGGAACATCATCAGGAAGAAATAAAGAGACATGCAAAGAGCCTCTTATGTTACTTTAGAAAAAATATTCTTAAAAGCTGTAACTCCTAGAGCAAATCATAAGCAGATCTATATATTTATTTTCACCAAAGGGGAGAAAAAATGCTTAGAACCTTTCACCTTCTTTCAGCCTCATTAAGACGCATCTGATCACAACATGGCTGTCTCCTCTCTCAGGCACATTTACACATGCTCGGGGGAGGGGGCGGAACTAATTAGAGCGGCTTTCAGAGCCACTCTAATTAAAGCGCTGCAGCATCTTGTGTATCAGTGTCCCTGTGCTTCAAAATGGTGGCAGGGGCACTCAAACTATACCTCATTCAATAAGCTTTAGTTCAAGCGCCCCTGCTGCCATTCTGAAGCACGGGGACGCTGCTACACAAGATGTGGGAGGCTGCTGGAGTTCAGTAATTGCCATGCTTCAGCCAACTCTTAAATCACTGTAATTACAGTGCATCAGAGCAGCCCCTGTGCTCATGCATAGGCACCCCTTAACTCCTCCCCTGCACCAACCTCAAAATTGACAAATCCATTTCTATTTTCTTGCTGGAATGGCATTCATGAATAGCAACTGAAACTTTGAGGAGACTGGAACAAAGAAGAACGGTTTTCAAAAGCATTTATTTTGTTATTTGTGAATGCCATGTCAGTTGCACTGGCCTAGGAAGTCTACATTTGGTTTTCACCAAAGTACTTATAACTAAAATATCTATTTAGGGAAGGGAGAAACAGTGCCTTGAAAACACAGGAACTACAGAGTAATGGTCTTCATAAATATTCTCAGCTGCAAGCTGTGGATTTAAAGAAGAGCCCACAGGTGCCAATGACTACAACTGCATGTGAAACTCAAGTCCAACCCCTGGTGACCCATGCTAATATATGGATGATATTCCCTATATAACTAGGTAGAGACTATTTTCTACCCTTCATGCACTAAATACAAAATATACCCCCAACTTCTCATATTCCTGTAAAACCACAGTCAAGACTTTGGTTTTACATACCCTGTTAATCTGGAAGGGTGGGGATGAGAAAGAAAAAGATGACAACAAAGTATATACACAATTAACCATTAACTTTTTCATCATCTAAATGCAGTTCTAGTATTTCCATCCACAAGCTTACTATTATTCCAATACTAGCTAGAAATGACAACTTTTTAAGAGTACTTGTACACGTATATCAATTTGCCATCGATCTAAACATATTAGACTGGTTTAGTGGATTATGGAACATAATGAATATTTCTGTGAAAATTATTTAGATGAAAAAATGTTTTTAAAGGGTCCTAAGTAATTGACCCATCTTCTCAGCATTATCTCCATCTTTGGGATTCATAAGTCTGAGAAAACAAAGAGAAAGTGACCAAATACTACACTTCAGCTCCTTAATGTCTAAGAAAGCACACAAGCATACAAAAACAAAAAAATAGAAAAAAAAAAAATCAAAAAAAAAAAAAATCACACAGTTAATCCACTAACAACTAAAAAAGTAAGTTTTGCATCAGTTTTACGAGACTCAGTTTATGTTATGAGCGACTCCCCTGCTCACTCTGTTGCATGTCCTGCCATTCAAGATTTCTTTGCAAATGGTATCTATGGTTAGCATTTAGCATTACCACTGTTATGAAAAATTATGGAAATGCATGTTAATTTAGCTCACTGCACTATATGCTGGAAGTATTAACAATAATGCGGTTAACAAAAAAAAAAAAAAAAAAAAAAAAAAAGAAAGGCAGATTTGCAATAGCCCTTAGTAACAGAGGCCCACATCCACATAAAGGTACCTAAACACTAACTCTCATTAAAATCAATGCGTGTTAAGCACTATATGCCTTTGAAGAGCTCGGTCTTTCTTAATTTATACAGTCCTAACAAATTTGCTGCAGTAATTAGCAGGGTTCTAAAGGCAATTTTTTTTCTAAGCAAGCTTTGTTTAATATTTAATACTTCCTGTGACTCTTAAGTTAGTAATAAACAAATGAGAAGGAGGAAAAAGAAAAGATGACAAAACTCCAGTTTGCATCACTAATATTTGCTGGTGCGATGCATGTCATATATTATTAGAATCGTTTAGCTTAAAAGTAGAGAAAACTTATATTTTTAGTGCCACATTGCTATTTGAGATAAATGAAAATACAGTACCTTCTATTGAAGAGCTAGTTGCTTGGCCATTGCTAGGTCCACAAGAACTGTAAAGTGATGCAGGACTATATGGCTCATAGGGTTTTAGAACAGTCAGTACATTAGGAGACTCAACTTCATCTGAGTTCAGAAGCCCTTGTTTGGTTGGCAAAACAGGGGATGCAGGTTTGGTGTGAGAGCATTCCTGAGGTAACATATTTGCATATCTGTTTGTAACACGAAATCGGTTCATTCCATATCTTCTGTAATTGGCCACCGCAGAGTCAATGTGTTCAATACCTAACAGATTAGGTTTTGCTCTTTTAGAAGATGGCTCTCCATATTCTAAGTTTATGTTACCTGCTGATCTATTACAGAGATAATCCCTTCCTCGATGAATGGGCCAGGCAGATTCGCTAAGGGGACAGTCAAGCAAGCCATTGACACTGCTGTTTACAGGTTGAGAAGCTGAGATACTTGGAGCTTTTACTCTCAGTTCAGGCCTTTTCATCCTGTCCACTGCAGAAGAGATACTAGGATTTGAGTGCATTTCCTGCTGTGGTTGTCTATAGCTACTCGCCTGAGCTGCAATATTATTCTGTGGTTTAAAAGCCTTCAAGTTACTTGGAGCAGAACTGCTGGAGTCAGACAATGGAAACACAGGGACTTTGCTCTGTAGACAGGGACACTGTTTAGCCTTTCCTGTTTGCAACAATTTTGGCTGAGTAGACAGGGAAGCCTTCCTTTTACTAGAATTAAATGACAGGGGAAGCACATCTTTACCAAGAAGGGCTGGAGGGCACCCAGTACGTCTGGCCCTGGCCACAGCCTTATTTCTGTAACCGTTTTTGTTAACAGCATCAGGATTGTACTTGTGCATCAGCCTCTGGTGCATCATTAAGACCTCTGGATAAAAAGTTCGGTAAGTACAAAATGGACAGGTGCTGGTTGCTAACAAGCCTCTAGTTGAGATCACTGAACATTCTTGTGAAGTCCCAAGAGATAAATTTAATGGCTTTTCTTGAGAGTCCACTGTATGTTTATATTCGCAGTTTTCTGTGTTTCCTCGCATTTCATCCATGTTATTTCCATTCTTTAAAGCACGAACGTACTGGACATCATCTTCTGATGCCTCAGGAGTCTCTGTCCCTCTTTTATAAAGATCATTTGTCTGGGACTCCACTGCTTTGTTCTCTGCTTTTAGCTTTTCCAGAGAAGGACTGGATGCATTCTCATTCATTTGATTTGAGCTATTACAATCTGCACCTTTGTTTGATTCCTGAGTATCATATTTCATGGTCAAACGGACTGCACTGCCCAGTACACTCTGAAAGGAAGCAATCCCTTTGTGTTGCTTTACAGGTGGGCAGCCTTCAGCATCTTTGGCACCATCGATACACCTTTTCAAATTTTTGGTTTCTTGAGCACCATCAGCAGCCAGCAAAAGATCTGTCTCCTGACTTTGTAACGAAACTTTGCTATCATTTTTCACATCTGTTGCAATATCAGCCTGCTTGTCCTTGTGATGCCTCTCTAAATGATACCTTAATGAAGTTTTCTGGGCTGCTGCATACTCACAAAATTCACATTTGTATGGTTTCTCACCTGAAACATAGGTTGTGTCAGAATAAGTGTGATGCATAGCAATTCAAAAACTTCATCATGATTTTTCTGGTGGTTTGTTTATAAAGAATTCCCAGAAGTAAAGAGATAAGCAGGCTTTTGTTTTCTCCCCTTCCAACACACACTATTTGTGCAGGCCCCAAATCCACGTCCCTCCCCCAAAAGCAACTGCAGCTAACAAAAAAATAACTAGTGTGATTTCTTCTGGCCGGGACTAAATTTTTTTCCAAACATGTTCAGGCATTGTAAAGATGGCAGTTTGCAAATAAGACTGGGGAACATTTCCAAACCAGCAACCTGTGATTCTCGACTATGCCAACAACATAAATTGTTCAACAGCTGTGAATAGCTTTAAAAATCAAGCTAATACTAGAACCAGCTGAGAATAAAGCAAGGACAACTGAAGTCCATTAAATGCATTGACAGGAAGGCAGACCACCATGGCTACAACCTATACCCCTAAGGCCATAGGCAGACAAAGTTCTTTGGGTAAATCCAATAGAATTTTTCCAACTATTTGAGTTGGTCTAATGAAAAAAATATCAGTTTTACCCAAAGAATCTTGATTAAAAGAGATTTTTGAAAGGGAACAAGTATGGAGAGGATACAGAAAATAAATACATCTATTAAAATAGGAGCAGTATCTTCCATGCAGTTAACAAACATACTTTTTACCACCATATCTGGAAGTCACCCATTCTTGATTGTTAACACACCATTATAATCCGACACAGCAACAAGCAGGATATAATTTTGAAATCGGTGTCCTAGAAGTCATACACCCAGCTTACTAAAAGCAGTATTAAGAATGTAAAATTTCTGCTTTTTGCATGTCCATCATAGCACTAGAGATGTTTTATATCTTAAAATTAATATTCTATCAGCAATGAAGATATTTATTCTTACTCAGAAGCAAATATTTCCCTTGGTTTCAATTAAGAAGATACTCTCCCCCCAAACAGTAATCTCTTTTACCTGTATGAGTTCGGAGATGAATATTGAGGTAATAATTTGAGCGGAAATATTTTCCACAGTAGCTGCATTCTCTGGAGGCTCCAAGGTTTTTAACTTTTGTTCTTTCCAGGACATCTTCATTCTTATCTGTAAGAGGTGGAGGAAAAAAACCCCAACTATATTATGAGAAGAAAAATAAAAAAGTTTGGAGTTTGGGGATTTTATCCCCCAGTAGTAAAAGTTTCTCAGTTAAAATCATTTTTTTTAAATGTCCTTAGCTGCCATCAACTCACTGGAGAGGCCTTCATGCATCTTGATTGTGCAGTGCTCTACAGGCCAACTCTTGGACTATTGAGAGTTTCTAATTGCGTGCCAAATACTTTGTAGTTTGAAATTATGGTTAAACCAGGGGGATAAGAAATTAGATGACAAACCAAGTCTTTAAGATTTAAAGAACAAATACATTTCATTACCGTTAATCACTTGGGCAAATCTCCAATGTGCTATCCCTCAAAATATTCAATACGGGCACATAAAGGTGTTATTTGATGCAGAAATTTAAAACAGAAAGATACAAAACCGCAGACTTAAAGCGCAATCCTACAGTGCAAGAAGAATTTAATTTGCACTGGCCAATGGAATTTTGTGCCTGAAGGGAAACAGTTTCAACAAGTTAGAGCAAAGCCTTGATAGTTTTCCAGCAGAATTATTAATACTGAAATGGATATCTGGCAAACCTGAGGGGGTGAGGGGGGTGTGCTTCAGAGAATAATCAACATGTTTTCAAGGAACAAACTCACAGTTGGGGCTGGGAGAGGACGGGGGATGGACACACTTGGCCTATGTTAAGCTAATCCCAATACTCACCACTAGAGGGTAGCAAGTCCAGCATAATATCGAACAAGGAAGGTGGAAAAAAGGGAGTTCTAAACATGAACACTGTGGTCAAATGAATATTACTTTTTTTGGCAGGTTACATGAAGAACACTAAAAGCAAAATTACGTAAGCGCAACCACTCAGGTCAGAAGCGACTAAAAAGTAAGAGGGGGAATCGAGAAGGAATGTTTTCAGAAATGAATGGTTTTACTTGCATAGCCAGCTGCTCTCAATACAAAAAAGATTGTTTTGAATGGTTCTCAAAAAATGTAGATGGCTGAGCTGGAAAGCTGTTTGTTTGTTGGTTAGCTTTTAAGATTTGTCACACCCCGTGGAGAGTCCTGCAATAGCAGTTTTCAACTTGCCTCTGTGGATATACCACCCCTCTGCATGACTCAGCACCTCCTGATAAAAACTGTTTTAACGCAGGAAGATAGCAGCTACTGAGAAGTACACTTAACATTAGGTAAATAACCTTTTTAATATCATCACTATCACAGCTGCCAAACGAAAGGGCTACATAGAACTAGAAATGGAAAAACACAAGCGTGTGCGCCAGGACATTCTGTACACTGAAACTTTTCTTGAGGTTATGCAAATATCCTGTCCTTAAATGCACACACAAAGTATGTCACAAATTAAATGTGCAAGACTAGTTTGAAATATCATCTCTGCTATCCTTCCTGCCTTCACCTTAGTCCCCCAATAAGTGAGTTGTAGAAAGTATATAAACATTTTTAAATATTCTGTATGTTCCTACCCAACAGCAGCAACAGTTAATTCAGACTGATGCCATTTATGATGCAATGAAACTTTACTCTTTTCTCCCAAAAAGGATACACCTTTCAACAAAGCCTCTCACAAACATTCAGGGTACATGCCAGCTGCCCATACCATTTTCCCTTAGCTTCAGCAATCTTAACGTTCAAGTTTTCAGAATTTGTATCATACAAGATGTGCTACATGCAATAGCACAAACCGAAAATGTCTTGAAATGATTAGAACTGAGAAGTGAAGAATTATCTATATAGATACTGGAAGCACTTCTTTTCCTCTGCCTGGTTCCACAATAATGGCAAAAGACTAAACAAAAGCTAACCAAAACCCTGTGTACTTGCAACTTATGATGTTTCTCTCTGTTTTTTTTTTTTTTTTTATCTGCCCCCACCCATGCAGACAGGCACTGTATTAGACAATAGCAGACATGCAGTATCTCAGAAACAGTACCCAGTTATATTAAGGTTTCTTGGAAATAAAGCTAAGGAACGTAAGTGACATATTACAAAATTTTAGTTCCTAGTATATATTTTGTCACGGTAAGCTTCTACGTTACTGCTTGCTTAAAGCTCGGTGTAACTAAAGCCCCGAGCCTCTTTTTTCCTAGTGACAATGTGAAGGGGAAGAAAGTTTAGCGCTTTTCCTTGTAAAAATTTCAAACACAAGAACACTATACAAATAATTGTGCTATTTGACTGTAAAGTGGTAAAGCGGTCAACTACACTGCTCACCTAAATGAAGGGCCTCTGTAAGTCCATCTTCAGAGCCGTCTTCAGAGCCTCCCTCTGTTCGCTCTACTGCTCCATTTTCATCCAAAGTTACAATCACATCTGTACAGCATGTTCTGGCGGTGGCTGAAGTTTCTCCATCACTCCTCCTGTCTTTTTTATGTACTCTCGAATGCAGGACAAGTTGATGGTAGGTTCTAAAGGCTTTGCCACACACTGAGCAGTGCGTTGGTTTATCTTTGTTTTGTGACAATTTAGATTCCACTTCCATAGAAGGCACTTCTCCACTGGGATGTTTCACTTTGTCTTGAGACACGATACCAGTTCCTGTATAACTGCTTTTATTTACCTTTGACTTCCCTGTAGTTTCTGTCTGGCTAACCTGGTTATTTTTATTTGCATTCCAAATTTCACCAGGTTCTTCTTTATCAGAAGATGAATCATCATTGTCAGTACTTCCTTCTTGCCCTGGTTCTTTGATCTGCCCATGGCCAACTGCAACTTTCCCTTTGGTGGCTAGCTGCCATGCTTGATATGTGTTGAATGGATCTAGCTCAGCTATCCATTTCACAGGTTTTTGCAATTTGCTGTTTTCTGAAGTCAAGTTTGGCCTTAAGTCCAAAAACTGCAGAAACTGATCTTGTGAATACATTCCATCTTTATTGGCTCCATCAAGGACTTGTGGATTATCACCACTGGACACAGATTCTTTGGTGTGCACTTTACTGTGCTCAATTAGAGTCTCTTTGTTGAGAAATAGGAAACCACAAACCATGCAGATTTTGTAAGGTGATATTACATTTTCAGTTACATGCTCCTGCACCACCTCATTTATTGTTATTGGGCATTCAGAACCTTGCTGAAGCTTGTTTCTCGAACCAGGTTTACCAGTATGTGTTCTCATGTGATTTTTGAGAAACCAAGGCTCTTTAAATCTTCTGCCACATACATTACACCAATATGTGAAAGAATCCTTATGTTTTTTCATATGAGTCTCAACATCAAAAGCCTCATCAAATGTTTGTCCACAAACTTCACAGCTAAATTCTTCATTATCCTTCTCACTATTTGATGGAGGACAGTCTCTCACTTGACATTTATCAAGATGGCTAAGATATTTTGCTTCCACACGCAGAACTGCTGGTTCACAAAGCGTAGGCCTATGCTGAGTTAAGACATGTTTACCAAGTTCTTCAGAGTGTTTAAATGTCTGATCACAAAACATGCAATCCAAAGGCATGCATCCTTCAGCTTGCATTAGGAACTTTTCTTGCAAGCCTTTGTAAGAAATGGTGTTGGTTCCTTTTATTGGCATTGAAGCATCGTTACTCTCCATCTGGGCACCAACAGTACTGGCTATACCATCCGGTCCCTCCATATATGCCAAAAGGGGCTGTGTTGGCATGTTTCTTGTGGTAGGTTCCCAGTTAGGCGTTTTAAAGTGAAGTTTGTTCTTCTCAGGTTGTTCTCTAGTCAAAATAAGGGCACTTATGAGGTTCTCCACCCGTATACACACAAATATGATGAACCTGGAGACTACTGCAGGAAAGGTTTTTTGTCACAAACAAAACAAGTTTTGCTTTAGCTGTATTCACACACCATAGAAGATGCATTCACTGGTTCTTTTGGTGATGGAATAAGATTTCTTCAATTACTTTTTCTGATGTTTTGCATTAAAAGTGATCAGTTGCACTTATTTTTTCATATGCATGCTTCAAATAATTCTATAAAACTAGGCAGAGTCAAGAAGAGGCTCAACACCACAGTAGAGGTCAGTACCTGCAGAAACAAAATGGCTACCATTAGATAAGGAAGGGAAACAAACTGGAAAAATATATTTGATTGCATCTTTCTTACCCTACCTGAAATAAGCATAATGTTGAGCACCTATTTAAAAGTCTAATAACCCATATTTTTCTTCCTACTTTTATATAAAGGTAGTTATATATAAGCAGTGTTTTAGCCTGCTATACAAAATTAAGGGTAAAATTTAAGATTACACAAATCTACTAAATGAATCCAAATCCAAAAATCAGTTTAAGTGATGCAATGTGCTCAGGGTGTTGCACACTGAGGCTTCGAAAACGGACTTTCAGGAGAAACATGGGCATGGGCAGAGGATCAGGAAATGGGCAGGAAGAACAGTGGCAGACAGAGCAGAAAGCACAGGTGCTTTGGGAAGGGGAAAAGGAGCAGAGTTGAACTTATGGGGGCCGCACGGCTTACTTTGTGGCCAGTCTGCCAAGAAGTTGCCCTAGCCCCCATTTTATGCTGTATGAAAAAATGAACCCTAATTCTCTCAAGCTTAGATGACTTGAAACTATTTTCACATTACTGGCAGATTGGAAAATATCAGGGCAAATCCTTTTCATTAAAGGAGTGTCACTCATGCTATTATTCCAAACTTCTGACACACTTTAGAGCCGACATGTTTTAAGACTTTCACTGTTCCATAAATACTAAGAGTTGTAGCAAAAATTAGATTAGGTAGTTTGTGTGCAATGAAAGAAATATTTAACAGCTACATTATTTTTAAGCCTCATTTTGCATATATTTTAGGTTACAGAAGAAATCATGTTTAAATCCCCCCCAAACAAATGCTTATAAATTTTTAAACTGTTAAAGATTGGCAATAAATATGGTTTGGTAGCATTGCAGTGATGTAGCTGTGACAGTCCAAAAACATGTGCAGAGGGCAAGGATTTTTGAGGGTAAAGCTTTTCACTAGACCAACTGCATGGTTAGGATGGTTTTAATCCGAGTTGCAAAGGTTGCATGTGACTTGAAAGAAAATTCTAATGCAACAAATCTATAGATTACTGTAGATTTGTGGACCTATTCTCATATTAAGTTAGTTATTAACAGCAATAAACTACTACCCTTTGGCAAGTCAAAATAAGTTACAGTACATACTGAGTTAGAGGACACCAATTTATTGGAAAAACATTAAACATCCAGGAATACATAACCTTTCTAATTTTTAAAATATTATTTTCATCAGCTTTTTCTAGTACACGAGCCACATCTTCCATCAGAATCTGCCTTGTATATCTTTTCTCATTTGGATTAACCATTGAAGTTTCACAAGTTTATATATCCAAAAATTAAGCAAGGGATTAGCTCAAATAAGTATGCTTTTAAAGACATTCTATGAGCATGACGCACAGTAAGTCATGAACCCAAAACTCCCATATTGAAGTGTGAAGCACACCTGAAGTAACTCTTTTTCAAAGAAAGACCCTAAAATGTGTTGAAAATGTGTTTAATTAGGAAAAAAAAACAACTAACACCCATGGCCTAAGCTAAATTCACCCTTCATTTTACATTAGAGAAGAAACGTTTTGCTTGTTTAAACATGCTCCCTCATACAACATACCACAGAATATATTATGCATCTTGTTTTTGAAAAATTGTTGGGGGTGAAAATCCAGAGTTATAGCTGTAGAGAGCAGGGACAGAGCCAGATCTTCTCCCTTTCCTAATTAACTAAAACTGAAAGTCTAGATGCTGAAAACTGGTCTCCATGTTTGGGTCTATGATTCTGAAAAGAGCTAGAGAGTTTCCAAGTCTCTGAAATGGGAGGAGAGGGACCAGGAGCAGCTATCAGACATCAGAACTGCTCTAAGAAAGATTAGCAGAACATCACGACCATTACGAAGGAGAGATAATAGTTAACACACCCAAATTGAAGAACAATGAGCCATTAAGTTCACCGACTCCCTGAACTGCCCTAATAGCAATAGAACAGCTACTGTACTGTGGAGTCAGAATCGAACTAGGGTGTTTCTATCCCAAGTAGAAAAATCAGCGGTGTCACTTAATACACAAAGCCCAATTTTGGGGGGCTGATTTTGGAAAAAAGGCATGTCCTGCATGAAAAAAAGTATAGTAGCAGCTCAGTGGTAGGCAGCACTCAAAGTAACCTGATCAGATAGAAATCAAGCACAAACAGTTGTATCAAATCTATGCCCAGAAACAGGTTTTGGTCTAGTTCAGCAAGGACATGGTGTTAAAGTCCATTCTAGTCAAGACAGTCACTGGGTAGTATCCTAGAACATTTTTCTCCACAGCATTGTTTAGCAAAGACTTCTTAAGAATAAGTGTGTGAGAATCACCCTAAATTGTTGCCATAGAGTTACAAATGCTCAAAGTCAAACAGTCAATGCCAGAGAGGGGTAAGTTGCTATTTCACCTATAGGAAGTCCCAACAATCATTTGGGGGGCAATGAAATGGCATATAATATTCAGTCTAATATTCAGCCAGCCTCTTTTACGTGCATCAGCTGCTAACATCAGAGAGCAAGTTTGAGGTTTTCTGTTCTGTCTTTCCTTTTTTTCTTCTTTCAGGGTGTGACATAGCTGCTGAGAAATACCATTAGGAAACAAGTAACAGATCAGCATTCCTAATTTTATTGTTTCATCATCACCATACCCAAAGAAGCAACAATTCCATACCAAATTCCAGGAATTTATTTGGTCTTAAATTCCATCTCAGGCAACTAGATCACCAAAAGCCCATTACAGATTGGAACCAGAGGAAGAGAGTTTCCTAGATGCATACAGAAGTTCACCCTCCTCCCAGAATTTCACAGACATTCCTGTAACACCAGACACACCAGAGTAATAGCAGTTTGGCAAGTACTACGATTACAGGACGGTAGTAATGTTATATCAGAAGTTAAGATGTTTTAGTGGAATATAAGTCTGCTTTAGAGTTGACACTTTTTGTAGGGATCTACCAAACTCGCGGTGAGGAAAAGCAATTTTCGCAGCTTGGTCACAGGCTGAAGGGCTAATAGTGGTCTTTCCCTGACAGCCCCAGCCCTTGGCACTGATTGGCAGAGGTGGGGGGAGAAAGGACAAGGGGGCTGGCACCATCTTATCTACTGGCTGCCCTTTGTGCCACCCTGCCAGCCAGCACCTCCCCCGCCACAGGCAGGCCATGAGGCCAGGCACAGCAGCGCTGAGGACTGCTGGCTTCCATTGGGGGGAGAGCATTTTATTTTAATTAAAATTTCGGGGGTTGGGTTGCTTGATTTCCTGGGAAATTGTGGTCAATGCGATTTTTTGCAGTGATCACAGTTTGCCATTTTTCACAGTTTCTGCAAAAACTGCAAAACCACAGTTTAAGTAGGTCCCTAACTATTAGATCAAGACAAGACTTGCCTGAATGATTTGCTCCCCAAATTAACCTAACAAAAAACTCTGCTTGCACCTTCCACTTAATTATCAAGGTCTGGCCACTGTTGGATGTGGGCTGCCCTTAATTTCAGCCCATCTGACAACTACTGTGAAAACACTTTGCCTTCAATCTCATTTCACAACACATCTAAGTCATGCAAGTTACTATGTACTAATCTGTTTGTCCACTTACTTAAAAGTACCTGATGCAAGTAGTGAAGAGCAACCAGAATGAAAAAAAAAAATTACAAAAAAAACTTTAAACAAATGAGAACCCATTATGCTTACTGCAACCGCATATACAAATATATACTGCTTCACTCTCTAGATTGTAATTGGTGAAGAACCAGAAAGAGTTTGGTTTTCAAATCCCACTACATTTCAACACAATCCAAAACCCAAAGTTCCTTTGATAATCTCATCTTAATCTTCAAAGCTCTTTACATATTTAGGGCTAGATTTTAACCAGTGTTCAGCACCGAAGACCCACCATAACTGAAAGGGAGCTTCTATTTAGTGAACTCTTGCCCATTGCTAATCCTCAAAGCACTCTTGAAAGGTAGAGGAAAATATTCCTATTTCAGGGTCTGAACTATTTATCTGCAACAATGGTCATTACTGCCGTGAGATGATGTGTTACTGAAATAACTCATGATATACTGAAGTACAAGTCTCACCTGGACATGTGAGGCTTGAAAACTAAATTACGGATTGCCTTTGTAGTGAACACTTCACTGAGGTACAACTGAATTAGATTCAAAATGACACAAAGAAGGGCATAGTAATGCAAAAAGAAAGGGGGGGAAAAAAGGGTTAATAGCTGACCTACAAAGACAATGGGACTGGCACAGTAGATTTAATACCCTCCCCTATCAAACAGAAAGCCCTTTGGAGCAGGGTGTGTCCTTTATGAATGGAAGAGACCTAAATGTACTGTGGACTGCTGAACACCAAGTATTAATGCACCAGGACTAGGGAGCATGTTATAGACACGTATCCAAATTCAAATCACAGCACCAGTCTCTAATTAAGACCTCCCCCCCCCCCCCCCCCCCCCCCCCCGCCGCCCCGCAACACCACACACAAACCATTGTTAGAGAAACTAGTTTTCAAAACAAAACATTATTCGACTCCCCAGTAATTATACAGAAGTGGCACTTTTATATGCAGCTATGTCCTGGAAACATTCCAAATACCATCTGCTTTAGTTATGCAATTATTACCTTTTTAATCCTATGATCACTGCAGAGATGAAGCTGAGTGAGGTCTAACTTGGCTCAATCAACAAAACATGATACTTTAAACTGTAAAACTGTCCCTGCATTTGTTCTAAGTCACAGGGAAACAGGTTAATCAAGGTAGAATTGGTCTTGCAGAAACCTTAATTTTCAGAACACACAGAAGCCAGAAGACAGAGTTTGACCCTCAGATCCTAAAATTACTTATAAAACTGGCAATTAGCCTATTTTTTCTTGTCAGCTGAACAAGTGAGATCTGAAGTCAGCAAGGAACAAAAAACAGTATGAATTAAGAACCCTTCTTCCAGAATGGAAGACTTAATTGATACAGAGCACTGATCACACAGAAGTAGCCTTTTC